CTCAAATACTTGAAGAAGGGCCTCTAGGCAGCAGAATTCTCAGGTTCACACTAGTGAGTCCAGGAAAGGCCATCACCAGGTCCAGACGTTGGTAACTGCGTCTAGAAGATGACTCTGGAGTGTGTGTGTTCCTGGAACACTGTGTGGACTCTGGTGACTTAGCACCCAAGTCACCAGCGTCTTGCACATTCACTGTTTATTTAATTGTATTGTGTTTTATCTTTCATCTTTGTTTAGAGTTTAATTTTAATATTGCTAGTAGAAAGGTAAGAAAGCTCGCGCTCTTTAGACTTATGATCGACTTGCTTCAATTAAAGTTTTTGTTTTGTTTTAAGATTGGCAGCTAACGAGTCAGTCGCGTGTTATTGAGAACGTGAACCCCCGCTTGTGAACCCACGTCTGTACTCACCTATTTGTACTCACATAGTTGTGGTTTAAGGGGTTGAGCTTTGGCACTTTGATCCCTCCTCTCAACATTCAATCAACTGGTGAACAGATTCTTGAGCCCATTGGACTCTAACAAATCTACATTTGAAACTATATATAGAATCAGCCTCCACTACATCACTGTCTAATGCATTCCATTTGTTAGCTAGACTGACACTGACAAAATTATTCCTAATGTCTCTGTGGATCATTTGGGTACTAAGTTTCCACTTGTGTCCCATTGTTTGTGTTCTTCCCATGCTAAATAGTTTTTTTTTGTCCACCCTGTCAGTTCCCCTGAGAATATTGGAGGTGGTTATCATGCCTCCCCTTACTCTTCTGTCTTCCAGGAACGTGAGGTTTAGCTCCAGAAGCCTGTCTGCAGCTTCCTGGCACTTTTGGATGACTTAGTCCATCATACCTTGTACAGTCTTTTCTCTGAGTTCTGTTTCCCATGGTATTTTCATTAAGAAGTTCCTTATCGCGTCATATTTTTCCTCTTCGGTAATTTAGCCTTTTCCTTTTCGATCCCTTCATTGGATACGTTATCCCTTCCCCCCACTATATACTCAAATGCCAATACGCTGTGGCCACTCATTCCCATGGGGACATCAAATTTGACTTCCCTTATTTCTGATACATTCAAGGTGAATATCACGTCGAGTCTAGCTGGTTCGTCCTTGCCTCTCATTCTTGAGGGTCCCTTGACATTCCTGTGACCCTTGGCCCGAGGGTCACAGGAATCACAGGAGGGTCCCGAGGACAGTCTTGTGATCCTACGTGCCTGGAACTAGCCTCGCATGACATCTCACGCACGTGAACCCACGCCTTGAACCTAGAACAACAAATTGAACATTTGTAAAGCTATGCCTGTTATCCTATGGACACTCGTGAACACACACACGTCTGTGAATACTTGCACTCCTGTGAACCATTGCCTGTAAACATCTGCACATAAATGAATCAACGAACGCCTTTGAACCTATGCCTAAAACCCACGCCTGTAAACCTACTCCCGAGAACCAACACATGTAAACTTGCGAACCCACGATAGTGAACCAACCTCCGGTAAACCCTTACATGCCAATGAATCAACTCTTTTTTTTTCCACCAACGCCCGTAAATTCAAACTCCTTAATCCACGCCCATTAACCCCACACTGTGAACCCACAAATGACTGTGATCCCCCTAAAGAGATCTGTGACCCCCACAGATGACCGTGAACCCTTGCTTACCCCTCACCCTGACGCCTGGTTACCCACGCCTGTGATCTCCGTCCGCGGGTCTTCGCTGCTGTCACTCACCGTAACGGATTAGACGGCGAAGTGCTTCATTCTCACAATATAAATGTTTATAGTATAAGAAAGACGTTCTCGCTCCAGGTTACAATACCTGGCTCCAGGTTACAGTACCTGGCCCCAGGTTACAGTACCTGGCCCCAGGTTGCAGTACCTGGCCCCAGGTTACAGTACCTGGCCCCAGGTTACAGTACCTGGCCCCAGGTTACAGTACCTGGCCCCAGGTTACAGTACCTGGTCCTAGGTTACAGTACCTGGCCCCAGGTTTAGGTTTCTGGCCCAGATTACAGAATACGACGGCAGGTTGATGTACCTAGTCCCAGCAGGATTCAGTATCTGGTCCTAGCATAACTGTGTGTGGATCCAGCTTACTATATTTGGCCCCCAGATTAAACTACCTTACTGCTGATTCTATACCTGTCACAGGTTACAGCATCTGGAACTAGATTCTTGTATCTAGTTCTAGGTTACATTTCATAGCTCAATGTTACATTACATGGATCCGAATTACAATACCTGACCAAGGTTACAGCATGTTGATTCACGTTGCGGTTCATGGTTCAAGGTAACGGCACTTAGGTCTAGGTTACAATATCTAGCAACAGGTTACAATACCTAGCAACAGGTTACAATATCTAGCAACAGGTTACAATACCTAGCAACAGGTTACAATACCTAGCAACAGGTTACAATACCTAGCAACAGGTTATACTACCTAACCACAGGATGCAGTGCAATTAGCATCAGGTTATGGTAGATTGTTTCAAGGTTACAATGCCTGGCTACAAGATTACATAAATAGGCTAACGTGTTACAGTACCTGGTCGGAGGCTTTAATACTTGGCCATAAGTTTACAATGTTTCACCCCAGTTTACAATACCTTGTCATCTGTTACAATATCTGACCCAAGGTCAGGCCATATGTTACACCACCTGACATAAGTTACAATACCTGGTCATATGTTACAATATATGGCCATGTGTTACAATACCTATTCATATGTTCCAATACCTGACGATATGTTACAAACTCTGACGCAAGGCTACAATATCTGGCCCCCATACTACAATACCTAACCCAAGGTTATCTTGAGGTTATCTTGAGATGATTTCGGGGCTTTTTAGTGTCCCCGCGGCCCGGTCCTCGACCAGGCCTCCACCCCCAGGAAGCAGCCCGTGATAGCTGACTAACACCCAGGTACCTATTTTACTGCTAGGTAACAGGGGCATAGGGTGAAAGAAACTCTGCCCATTGTTTCTCGCCGGCGCCCGGGATCGACCCCGGGACCACAGGATCACAAGTCCAGCGTGCTGTCCGCTCGGCCGACCGGCTCCCGACCGAAGGTGACAATACCTGCCCCAGATTATAATACCTGGCTCAAGGTTACAGTACATGGCCATATGTTACAATATCTGGTCCCATTTTACAATACCTGGCTGTATGTTAAAACTTCTTATCCCTTTTTACGATAACTGGCCCCCATGTTACAATATCTAGCCATATGTTACAATACCTGACCCCAGGTTATAATACCTCGTCCCAGCCTACAATACCTCAAAATATGTTACAATATCTAACTCCAAGTTACAGTACCTGACCATATGTTACAATTCCTGACCCCAAGTTATAAAACCACACTCAATGTTAAAATACCTGGTCCTATGTTACAATATCTAGCATTATATTTACAATACTTGACTCCATGTTACAATAATTTGTCCCATGCTACAGTATCTGGCCCCGTATTATAGTAACTAGCCATATGTTACAATTCCTTGCACTATATTACACTACCAGGCACCGAATTACAGTACCTGGCCATATGTTACAATATCTGGCCCCATGTTATAGTACCTGGCTCCATCTTACATTACTTGGCTCAATGTTATAGTATCTGGTCCCATGTTACAATGTTTGGAACATACCAGGAGAAGGTTTCATGAGTTTTTCTACTCCTCGAGCCCGGCTTGGGGCCAGGCTCGACTTGTGACAACTTGGTCCAGCAGGCTGTTGCTTGAATCGGCCCGCAGTCCCACGCATCCGCTACAACCTAATTGGTCCAGCACTTCTTACACAAACCTGTCTAAATGATTCTTAAAGACATCCACCATTATTCCGACTATATTTCAAATGCTTGCTGGGAGTGTATTGAATGGCCGAGGACCTCTGATGTTCAGAAAGTGCTCTCTGATTGTGCCTATGGCACCTCTAGTCCTCACTGGTTCTATTCTCCATTTCCTTCCGTAACCTTCGCTCCAGTATGCTGTTATTCAACTGTGCAAATTTGGAACCATGCCCTGAAGTGCCTTCCATGTACATATTATTTGATATCTCTCTCGTCTCCTTTCCAGAGAGTACATTTTGAGAGCTTTGAGACTGTCCTAGTAATTTAGAGCTTTTATCGTTTCTATGTGTGCCGTGTAAATTCTCTGTATTCCCTCTATTTCAGAAATCTCTTCTGCACTGAAAGGGAAAGTGACTACTGAGCAGTACTCAAGACGGGACAGCTCCGGTGATTTAAATAGTATTAGTCCCATGTTGCAGTACCTGACCCCATGATACAGTACCTGGCCCCATTTAACAGTAACTGGCCCCATTTTACAGTTCCTGGTCAATATGTTACGATACCTGGCACCATGTATCCAGGGAGCACCAGGGAGCCGGTCGGCCGAGCGGACAGCACGCTGGACTTGTGATCCTGTGGTCCTGGGTTCTATCCCAGGCGCCGGCGAGAAACAATGGGCAGAGTTTCTTTCACCCTATGCCCCTGTTACCTAGCAGTAAAATAGGTACCTGGGTGTTAGTCAGCTGTCACGGGCTGCTTCCTGGGGGTGGAAGCCTGGTCGAGGACCGGGCCGCGGGGACACTAAAGCCCCGAAATTATCTCAAGATAACCTCAAGAAGATGTTACAATACCTGGCCCCAGGTTTCAGTACCTGACCACACGTTGCAATATCTGCCCAATTTTACTGTGCCTGTCTCCAAGCATAAATTCCTACAAAAAACAAATGCATAATCTAAACCCAAATTTCCCGATCTTACAATCGGTAATAACCACAGGTAAGGCTTCGGGTGATGTTACCTGACCCTGACGAGGTTATACGCTTAGCAGCCTCAGCCACGCTGAGATGTGCTGGCCTTGAACTTATCCTCTGAGTTCACTTGTTCGTTCAGTGATCTTGTATTTTTATCGGGCGTGTTGACGTCGTTGTTGCAGAGGCAGGGCATATATAAGCGCAAGCAACCGGCCAGAACTTCAGTAGTCTGAGGGAGATACGAGCTCTCAGTCAGTCCAGCAGCCATGGTAAGTCTCCAACGTTAACAGGTCCCATGGAAGGTTATTATTGTATGCAGATCCAATAGCAAGTTGAAAAGTTTAGTTGGCCCTAGTGTCATTATCTAGTGTTCGGAAGCCCGAGGGCAGTTTAAATCTGTTCGTAGGACCCGTGATAACTCTACACTGATATCTATCTTACTCAAGATAGATATAATAGGTGGCATGAGACACACGATTATCTTTAATGGTGACAGGCAACCAGTGATATTTCAACAATTGTATGAGACTACCATGGAAGGTGGTCAATAGTGGCAGGCTCCCCATGAGAGGACTACAATGGTGGATGCCTATGAGAGGTCTACAATGGTGGCAGGGTACCCATGAGAGGACTACAATGGTGGCTGCCTATGAGAGGTCTACAATGGTGGCAGGGTACCCATGAGAGGACTACAATGGTGGATGCCTATGAGAGGTCTACAATGGTGGCAGGGTACCCATGATAGGTCTACAATGGTGGATGCCTAAGGAAGGTATACAATAGTTGCCTGGAACTCATGACAGGTCAACAATGGTGTCTGGTTGCCTATGATAGGTCTATAATTGTGGCTGGCTACCCATGAGAGGTCTACAATAGTGGAAGGCAACCCATGATAGGTCTACAAGATGGCATCCTATGAATGGTCTAATGGTGGCTGGCTCTGAAAGGTCTATTGTAGATATTGCAGGTCTCACAGGTCTATTGCAGATCTATGAGAGGTCTACAATAGTGGCTTGCTACTCATAATAGGTCTACAATGGGCCTAGCTACCCAAGAGAGGTTTAGATACGTGGCGGACTACCCATGAGAGGTGTAAAATAGTGGCAGGATACCCATGATTGGTTTATAATGGTGCGAGGCTACCCAGTAGTATCATGGTTATCTTGAGGTTATCTTGAGATGATTTCGGGGCTTTAGTGTCCCCGCGGCCCGGTCCTCGACCAGGCCTCCACCCCCAGGAAGCAGCCCGTGACAGCTGACTAACACCCAGGTACCTATTTTACTGCTAGGTAACAGGGGCACAGGGTGAAAGAAACTTTGCCCATTGTTTCTCGCCGGCGCCTGGGATCGAACCCAGGACCACAGGATCACAAGTCCAGTGTGCTGTGCGCTCGGCCGATCGGCTCCCTACAAATCGGGTCCCTATTACATGTTGATAGAACCAGCAGTTGTATTTTCTTTGTTTATCTCCACTTATGTGTTGTATTTCTCTGTTTATATCCACGTATGTGTTGTATTTTCTCTGTTTATATCCACGTATGTGTTGTATTTTGTCTTTAGCTTTTCAGATTTGTTTTTTTCTCTATTTATCTTCTCAGATTTGTTGTATTTTCTGTATTTATGTTCTTAGATATGTTGTATTATAAACTCTATACTAAAGATGTACAATTCAGTCCATTCTCACGAAATTTAGTAAATTTTACTTTATAGTCACTGTAATGTTGTATCTTGTAATCTGTATTCACGGCATGAAGTACACTATAGTCTCTTCTTACAATATTGACAGTAATGTAGTCTACACAAAGCTCACCTTAAAATAAAAGACTTGCGATCGTTAAATTTTAGTTTCCACAGAAATTATTAACCACGTGTTACATGTTATTCTCTACTGAAACTCTTAACTCAATCCTAAATGTTATTCCCTACAAAAAACATACATCATTCCAACATGTTGTTATCCACGAAACATTTAACTATCATCACTTTGTTGTTCTACACAGAAACCTTATCCATTGCGCTTTTGCTCCTCAAAGAAACTTTAAACCATCACGCTACTGTTGTTCTCCGTATAAATCCCTCCCGTTGTTCTCTACAAAAGCCTTTAACATCGCCCTCCAGTTGTCCACAGAAGCCTTTAACCTTAACCCCTCCTATTGTTCTTCACAGAAGACTTTAAACATCATCCTCCCATTGTTCCGCACCTAAACCTTAAATCATCGACCACACTGTTTTTTTCTATATAAATCCCTCCTGTTTTTTGTCCACAGAAGCCTTTAACCATCACCCTACTGGGATGTGCCGTCTTCCTGGTCTCCGTGGTCGGGAGTCCCCTTCCTAGCAATGGTGAGTGTGATGATCTATGATAGTGAAATACACATATAGTGTACAACAATGTTATATACTCACTGTGAAGATATAAACTCTGAGGATGGTGCCACACTTCTTGCCATTGTATGAGTCTTACTTGTATTCTAACTTCGCTAGTTTATTGCTCTGATAGCAAGATGGCAATGTCTATCATTTCTAATTGTTGGTAATTGTTTTCTCTGAGGATTAGGAGCAAGTGGAAATAAACTGAGAAGTGGAACTGCCAGTGGAACTGGCACTGGTACCGGCAGTGGCTCTGGTACTGGTAGCGGCAGTGGCACTGGTGTTGGTAGCGGCAGTGGCACTGGTACTGATAGCGGCAGTGGCACTGGTACTGGTAGCGGCAGTGGCACTGATACTGGTAGCGGCAGTGGCACTGGTACTGGTAGCGGCAGTGGCACTAGTACTGGTAGCGGCAGTGGCACTGGTACTGGTAGCGGCAGTGGCACTGGTTCTGGTAGCGGCAGTGGCACTGGTACTGGTAGCGGCAGTGGCACTGGTACTGGTAGCGGCAGTGGCACTGGTACTGGTAGGGGCAGTGGCACTAGTACTGGTAGCGGCAGTGGCACTGGTACTGATAGCGGCAGTGGCACTGGTACTGGTAGCGGCACTGGCAGCAACACAGGCAGTGGCAGCGGAACTGGCAGTGGCAGCAACACAGGCAGTGGCAGCGGAACTGGCACTGGCAGCGGTTCTGGCAGTGGCAGCAACACAGGCAGTGGCAGCGGAACTGGCAGTGGCAGCAACACAGGCAGTGGCAGCGGAACTGGCAGTGGCAGCAACTCAGGCAGTGGTAGCGGAACTGGCAGTGGCAGCAACACAGGCAGTGGCAGCGGAACTGGCACTGGCAGCAACACAGGCAGTGGCAGCGGAACTGGCACTGGCACTGGCAGCGGCACTGGCAGCGGCACTGGCAGTGGCAGCAACACAGGCAGTGGCAGCGGAACTGGCACTGGCAGCAACTCAGGCAGTGGTAGCGGAACTGGCAGTGGCAGCAACACAGGCAGTGGCAGCGGAACTGGCACTGGCAGCAACACAGGCAGTGGCAGCGGAACTGGCAGTGGTAGCAACACAGGCAGTGGCAGCGGAACTGGCAGTGGCAGCAACACAGGCAGTGGCAGCGAAACTGGCACTGGCAGCAACACAGGCAGTGGCAGCGGAACTGGCACTGGCACTGGCAGCGGCACTGGCAGTGGCAGCAACACAGGCAGTGGCAGCGGAACTGGCACTGGCAGCAACACAGGCAGTGGCAGCGGCACAGGTAGTGGCAGCGGAACTGGCACTGGCAGCAACACAGGCAGTGGCAGCGGCACAGGTAGTGGCAGCGGAACTGGCACTGGCAGCAACACAGGCAGTGGCAGCGGCACAGGTAGTGGCAGCGGAACTGGCAGTGGCAGCAACAAAGGCAGTGGCAGCAACACAGGCAGTGGCAGCGGAACTGGCACTGGCAGCAACACAGGCAGTGGCAGCGGAACTGGCAGTGGCAGCAACACAGGCAGTGGCAGCAACTCAGGCAGTGGCAGCAACACAGGCACTGGCAGCGGAACTGGCAGTGGCAGCAACTCAGGCAGTGGCAGCGGAACTGGCACTGGCAGCAACACAGGCAGTGGCAGCGGCAGCGGAACTGGCACTGGCAGCGGTTCTGGCAGTGGCAGCAACACAGGCAGTGGCAGCGGAACTGGCACTGGCAGCAACACAGGCAGTGGCAGCAACTCAGGCAGTGGCAGCAACACAGGCACTGGCAGCGGAACTGGCAGTGGCAGCAACTCAGGCAGTGGCAGCGGAACTGGCACTGGCAGCAACACAGGCAGTGGCAGCGGCACAGGTAGTGGCAGCGGAACTGGCACTGGCAGCAACACAGGCAGTGGCAGCGGCACAGGCAGTGGCAGCGGAACTGGCACTGGCAGCAACACAGGCAGTGGCAGCGGCAGCGGAACTGGCACTGGCAGCAACACAGGCAGTGGCAGCGGAACTGGCACTGGCAGCAACACAGGCAGTGGCAGCAAAACAGGCAGTGGCAGCGGAACTGGCAGTGGCAGCGGCACAGGCAGTGGCAGCGGAACTGGCACTGGCAGCAACACAGGCAGTGGCAGCAAAACAGGCAGTGGCAGCGGAACTGGCAGTGGCAGCGGCACAGGCAGTGGCAGCGGAACTGGCACTGGCAGCAACACAGGCAGTGGCAGCAACACAGGCAGTGGCAGCGGAACTGGCACTGGCAGCGGAACTGGCACTGGCAGCGGAACTGGCACTGGCAGCAACACAGGCAGTGGCAGCGGCACAGGTAGTGGCAGCGGAACTGGCAGTGGCAGCAACACAGGCAGTGGCAGCAACACAGGCAGTGGCAGCAACACAGGCAGTGGCAGCGGAACTGGCACTGGCAGCAACACAGGCAGTGGCAGCGGAACTGGCAGTGGCAGCAACACAGGCAGTGGCAGCGGCACAGGCACTGGCAGCGGTACAGGCACTGGCAGCAACACAGGCAGTGGCAGCGGCACAGGCAGCGGCACAGGCACTGGCAGCGGCACAGGCACTGGCAGCGGCACAGGCACTGGCAGCGGCACAGGCAGCGGCACAGGCAGCGGCACAGGCAGTGACAGCAGCACAGGCACTGGCAGCGGCACAGGCACTGGCAGCGGCACAGGCACTGGCAGCGGCACAGGCAGTGGCAGCGGCACAGGCAGCGGCACAGGCAGTGGCAGCGGCACAGGCAGCGGCACAGGCAGTGGCAGCGGCACAGGCACTGGCAGCAACACAGGCAGTGGCACAGGCACTGGCAGCAACACAGGCAGTGGCACAGGCACTGGCAGCAACACAGGCAGTGGCAGCGGCACTGGCAGTGGCAGCAGCACAGGCAGTGGCAGCAACACAGGCAGTGGCAGCGGCACAGGCACTGGCAGCAACACAGGCAGTGACAGCAGCGCGGAAAGCCAATCAGAAAACGGTGGACTTTAAATTGGAGGGTCCAGTGACAGCCTAGAATGTAAGTTATTGCTTCTTCTTGTTTATAAATCCACTAATCAAAGTTTTAGTTTATCTAATATATAGGTTTATTTTCCTTAATCTTTATCGCATCAAATAATTAATATGTACTAGCAAAGTTGTATATTGTATAATTATTTTGTAACGCTTTTCAGAGAGAACTGAGATATAAATGTAAGGAACTTTCGTGTAATATACTTATCTTTTAATTTACATTCCAGACACACGTGACAAATAAGCACTGAAACCCAGATCAACCCATCGACGAATAAGGAGACAATACCTACACATGTTGCTTGCTTAAACTCCATCTGTGATTGAGGCGGGAAATATTTACTAGAGGCATCACAGGTGTCGTCATCATCACAGATGATGCCAGACTCACAGTTGACTCCAAAATCACTCATGACGCCAACATCACAGATGTCGCCATCATCACAAATGTTGCCAGCATCACAGGTGACGCCAGCATTGAAGAAGGCGCCAGCATCACAGATAATGCCATCATCACAGATGATGCCATATTTACAGATGGCGCCAGCATCACGCTAAGACACATATATCACAGTAAAAGGCTCTGATTTACACTTCCAGCAACAAGAACAGAACACGTCTTAAGCACAATTCACCTATCCACCACAGGCCGTTCACCTGTAATGCAGCAACTCAATGGCTATAACCTTTTACGCAATTCAAACAACAATATTCCCCTACCTATTTTAACTCTTCTCGAGTCATATTCTGTAAACTCATCACATTTCTTAAGTTTAACATTGAAAGTAGAATCTCCAGTATGAATGAGTACTGGGACCCCTACATAATGAAGGGCATTGGTAACTTAACTAATGAAGGGAGACCGGTAACTTCCCGTATGAGGTTGGTAACTTGCCTTTTGTTAGGAAGTGGTAATCTCTCTTTTTGAAGGGGACTGATAACCTCCCTTATGAAAGGGGACTGGTAACCTCCCTTATGAAGGGGACTGGTAACCTTCCTTATGAAGAGGACTGGTAACCTCTCTTTTGAAGGGGACTGGTAACCTCCCTTATGAAGGGGACTGGTAACCTCCCTTATGAAGGGGACTGGTAACCTCCCTCATGAAGGGGACTGGTAACCTCCCTTATGAAGGGGACTGGTAACCTCCCTTATGAAGGGGACTGGTAACCTCTCTTTTGAAGGGGACTGGTAACCTCCCTTTTGAAAGGGGCTGGTAACCTCCCTTAGGAAGGAGACTGTAACCTCTTCTTTGAAATGGACTAGTAACCTGCTCTATGAAGGGAACTGTTTAACTGGTCTTATTACTGCTGCTGGGACTGCGAACTTAAACTTTGGTGAAAATATCTTCAACATAATTACTATCATGTTTCATATTTATTATTATGAAGATTTGAAGTATAAATAAATCTCTTCAATAATAATGGACTGTTTCATTACATTATGAGTTTATTCCTAATTAATAAATACCATTTACTAATAATAATGAGGCAATAAATAATTATAATAATACAAATAAAAATAATTATAATAATAATATTAAACTCGATCCAGTAATAGATCCAGACACTCCAAGAGAAAATATATGTGGTCGGTCTGTGTGTGCACAAAAAAGTTCACAAAATGCATACCCTCACACTTATCTACAACTTCCTCCGACATGAACACATCAAACCAGAGTTGCTTGGAGAGATTTCCAGATAGATGATAACAATTTTCACGAACTGAGGCAAAATTACAGTTGCGTAGTGACCACCGGCCAGGTCGGACGCTCCTGAGGTCTCTCCGCTCCTGGCTAGTGTTTACGTTGGGTGATTGCTGGTTTGCCCTGCTGGTGGTGGTTTGCCACTGACAGGGTGACGTTTGACTTAGCCATGGGGACTTCTCGCCCTCCAGTGACGAGGACATTGTCGGCTGGTCTGGCATTTACGGTGCCGGTGGACCGTTGGTTGGTGTCGCCCTGGTGGACGTGCTCCATGTGCAGCTGTCGGACCTGGTGGGCATCCAGCTGCTTCAGGGCAACCGTGCTGTGGTCAAGTTCCGCCTCCAGGCTGCCTTTCAGGCGTTTCTCGAGCGGTGTGAGGGGCGTGTTTACCCTCTCCCTGATACTGCTGGTTCTGTTAAGGTGGTGAATCTTAGTGTCACTTTGACGTCTGTGGCGGTGCATGGTGCCCCCTTCGAATTTCAGGACGACTTCTTGACCTCCTGTTTTGAACGATTTGGGACAGTGTTAAGTGTTCGTTGGAACAAGGTCGTTGCCGGGCACTGTGTTGGTATGCTTGACGGCTCCCGCACCCTGACGATGTCGCTGAAGTGTAGTGTACCTCCGTTGATTAATGTATATAGAAACACTGAGATAAGGACTGTTCCTGAACAAATAGCCTGGATGTGTCACAACGGAAAGGTTGATGATATTCTTGAGAGATATAAGAATTTTGCACCAAGATTGTAATATTTTGTTGAATTATCTGCAGGTGTCTTGCAAATTGTCTATACAGTATACCTAGGTCATAAAAGTATTTGTGTGTACGTCTGATACCATACTACTTGTGAGGGAGGAAATGTATATTTTTACCTCTCAGAATGTTTGGTAATGTGTTTATTTGTGATGTGTGTCTATGTATATATTAACACGTTGTACTGAATGGGGTGAGAATAGCTTGAGCTACCTCATCCCTTTGTGTGTATTTTACCTCAATAAACTTATTTCAATTTCAATTTCAATTTCAATCGTCGATGTCCGTGTTGGGTTACACACTCCGCTGCCAGTACCGGGGGTCAACCGCGCACCTGTTATCGGTGCGGTCACGAGGGTCATCTGGCTGCAGCGTGCGACGAGGGAGCAACTGGTCGGGTGCATGTTTTTCGTGCGGAGGATTTTCCGCCCCTGTTGCGTTCGGACTGTTCTGAGGACGGAGTGGGTACTGTGCCCGAGGCGCCTGATTGCCTGTCTGCTGCTCCGCCTGTTGAGGCGAGTTCTACGGCCCGTGCAACACGTCTGGTGACTGCTGTGACCCCTGGGGTTGTTGAGCCGGTGTGTGTGTGAGTGCTGGGCCGTCGCCTGAGCTGCGTGTCATGCAGGATGTCCCGGTGGAGGTTCATGTCCCGCCCCCGCCTGTGGATGTGATACCGGCTCCCGGGGACGCGGTCCCTGCCGTGCCTGTGTGTGTTGGCGACTGTAGTTCTGCTCTTTCCATCCCTTTGCAGAAGCGTGCGCGTCGGTGCTCTGAGGCTGTTTCCCTGGATGATGTGGACAGTGTGGGTGATGTGGCCTCTGTGGGCTCTTCGGACGGTGCGGGTGTGACCTGTGTGGATGTAAAGATGGTGGCTGTGCCTGCAGTGGGGCCTGTTGGGAGTGGTGTGGTGCGGCCTGTCTCGAAACGTTCTCGAGGGGCTCGGAGTGTGCCTCCCCTTCGTGGTGTGCCTTGGGAGGAGGTGGGGGAGTATGGTGCTCTGGCGTCCCCCGCCGTGGATGATGGTGCTGTGAGGGGCTCCGATGTTGCTACCTGTGCCACCCCCCCCCCCTCCTGCGTCACCTGCTGTTGGATCTCCGCAGTGGGGGGGGGGGGATGCCCCTGATGATCGGACCTCGTCGTGGTGTTGCGGAAAGATGTGCGCCGGGAGGGGGGGGCCCCGGCTCCTGTGCCCTGTGGTGGGGTCGATGCCGCGCCTGCATCCCCTGCGGTTCCCCTTCCTTCATTACCCCGGTCTGGGGGAAGCCTCGTCCCGCCTGCTGGGGTCGTGCCCTGTGGGGTTCCGGTGTTGGGCACTTATCGGGATGCCCGGGTACTTCCGATCCCGTGGTGCTCGTCCACTGTCTGGGTGTCGCGGGTGAAGGAGTTTGTTTATAGGGTGCCGGATAAGATGTCTCAGCCGAGGGCACTGCCTGGTGGCCGTCTGCCCGATGACTTGTGGGTGATTTGGGAAGCATACTGCTTGCGCTTTCCGATATACAAGTTCCCGGAGAAATATTAGTTCACGTACTCTTGCGCGCACCGCTACGCCGTGCGTTGTTCAGCTGCCGCCGTGCACTCGAGACCCCGCCCTACGGTGCGGGGAGTCTCCCTCTATCGTCCACCTCTGTTTCCGTCGCCACTCCTCTCTCTACGGCCCGCCACATCCAACACTTTTGACTTTCTTCTCCTCCTTAACGTCTACGCGTTTCCCTACATTTGTCCTGGTGTAGTCATCGGGAGGGTAAACCCTTCATGCAAACTGCACCTGTTCTCAAGAAGAAGAAGAGGCAAAATTAGCAAGTTATATAATATTATAAACAATGGTCGTAATATAATAACAAGTTCGAACAGCATAATGCAGGTATATTATTCGCATAAGAATGACAATAAAAATGTTATATAGGTTATTAAAAAATAAAGCATAAAACAGCACCATTCTTTCTAAGGGATTTCTAGGGGATTTCCAGAGGATTTCTATTAGGATTTCTATTAGGGTTTCCAATAGGATTTCTAGGGGAATTTCTAGTAGGATTCCTAGTATGATTTATAGGGGATTTTTAGTAGGATTTCTAGTAAGGTTTCTATGGGATTTCTAGGAATTATAGTAGGATTTTTAGGGGATTTCTAGTAGAATTTCCAATAGGATTTCTAGGGGATTTTCAGAGGAC